AAAGAGTGGGAAAACAAACAAGGCTTCCTGGAGGAGGTGGAAACTGAGCAGCACCTCAGAGGAACGGGAGAGTTCGGGCACAGGCGGCACTGTGAGAAGTCGTGCCAGGTGGCACTCTGTGCACAGGAAGGCCTGCAAGGGCTGCTCACTGCTGAAGTCAGCCTGGTGCCTGAAAGGCCACCGTCTCCCTGCCTGGGTATAGCACCACCTCTTCTCAGATTGCTCCTCTCAGTGATCGTCTGGAAAGCGGGTGGCAGGTGAGCCTTGGGGCAGAGTGCCAGGCACTGGAAAGGGCACTCAGGGAGTCCCGGCCACCTGGCCGGCCTGCGGCCCACACCTTGTCAGCCTCCTTGGTGCAACGCTCCACCCGCTCCTGCAGTTTGCGCAGCTGCTCCTGGGAGACAGCGCTGTCGGCCTTGGCGTGGCTCTCCCGCGTCTGGGCCGTCTTCTCGTCCTTCCGAGCTGCGTGGTAGCTCTTCTTGGAAGCCTCAACCTGGCACACAAGGCGACATCTCTGGACCCTGAACACCACTCCCTGGTCCCCAGAGCCCCAGGAGGACCTGGAAAGGGCTCGCCTCCCATTCCCCAGCCCCCACAGGCTCACCTCCTTCAGCCTCTTTAGCCAGGGCTTCTGGGCCTTGCGGAAGCCATCCTCCGCAGCCCGGCTCTCCCGGAAGCCACCCAGCACTGGCCGGTGAAAGGCCCCCCGCTGCCAGGCACGCACCCGCTCGCTGTCCTGCCCCTGCAGCTTCTCCCGCACCTCCAGGTGCAACGTGCTCAGCCGCTCCGCAGCGGTGAAGAAGGCGTGCCAGGCCTTCTCCAGAGTGCCGTACTGGGGGCCTGCAGGGATGCATGGGGCTTGGGCCAGGTCTAAGGGCCACCCACAACAAGCCCACCCTCTCTTGCTGGGTGCTGCCTGGACGGAGTTGGGGGGGGGGCAAGCACAGAGATACCACGGAGGAGGCTGTAAAGATGGACAGTGCTGGGGCCAACAGGTAGTGTGGTGGTTAAGGCGCTGGAATTCCCACATGACTGACCACAGTTCAAGTCCCAGACCTGGTGGATTTCTCTCTCTCTCTCTCTCTCTCTCTCTCTCTCTGACCAAACTCATGTGAAATAATAATAAATAAATAAATAATTCTAAAAAAAAAAAAGATGGGACAATGCTGGGGCCAGCAGGTGCCTTGGTGTTTAAGGATGCTGGACTCCCACATGGCTGACAGCAGTTCAAGTCCCGGACCTGGTGAACTTGATTTCTCACTCTCTCTCTCAATCTGTCCCTCTGTGATCAAATTTAAATAAATAAATAATTAAAAAAAAAAGATGTGGACAGTGCTGTCAGCTGAATGTCCCGCTCTGATCTCCCTGGATTCTTTCCTCAGCTGCCATGGGGACAGTATCATTATCAGCACGGAACAGCCAAAACCGAGGCTCAGAGAAGCAAGGTCACCTCGCCCAAAGCATCACAGCTTAAAGCTGGATTCAAACCCAGTTCTGTTACATAAACATTTTTTGTTTCTTTTTTGGAGAGGTTTTTTTGCTATAGGGCGCATGTGCTCGCCAGAAAGCGAGAAATCACTCCCCAGGGGGTTTGGCCACGCTGCAATCCCTTCTCCTCCATTCTCCTCTCAGGAACTTGGGCACGCACGCACGCACACACACACACACCCGGCGTGAGTTTAAGCCGCCGGGTCCAGGATTTGAACCATGGATGACTACATGGGAGTCCAGCCACAAAACCATTATCCCATCTGGTGGTCCCCTGTTGCGTATACATTACACTCTCCTGCCTCAGAAAGTAGAACCAGCGTCTACCCTCGAAGACAACAGTTTGCTGGAAAGAAAGCTCCCACACTCCCAGGCAGGAGGCCTGGCTTAACCTTCAGCTCTTCCTAGCTGTGTGACTTTAGGCAGTCCCTTAGCATCTCTGACTCCCAGCTCCTCCTCTAGGTATCAGGTCGAACAGGACCGTCCCCATCACAGGGTTGTCAGGACCATCAGTAACTGGGGAGAGGACTGCGAATGACAGCCAGCCGAGAGGTTAACTGCCTTTCCCCTCTGTAAGGGAAGGCAGACGAACGCCTCAGACTTTCCACAAGCGTGTAAAAAGAAGCTGGCCTGACTGGCGTCCCTTCCTCGGCAGCCCTCTGCTCCTGCCAGGCCCGGGCGCTGGCTCACCCTTCTCCACGGTGCCCCTCCACTTGCGGGCCCAGTCAGCCAGCTGCTGGGCATAGGCCTTCTCAATGCGGGCGCGCTCCTGGAAGCAGCTGACCAGGTCTCCGCACAGCCGGTGCCCGTCCTCCACCCGCTGCACCGTCCTCCTGTAGTTGCCAGCCTGGGCGGGGGGACATGAAAAAGGACAGTGTCACCAGGAAGAAGCCCCCTCTCGGGCTGGGGCTGACAGCTAGGCTCCTCCCCTGCACCAGCGGTGGAGCCCAGACAGGGGTGGAAATTTCCATGCCATGCCCAAACCAGGGCCCCAGTTGCTCACCTCCCAGAAACTGCCCCCCAAGGCCTCCCCTCCAGCGTCCTCTTCTGGAGCCATGGTGTCCCCGCAGCACGGAATGGTGGCGGATTTGGGACTACGGGGGATAGAGAGGCAGGCAGGAAGTTGGGCATAAGCTTCAGGGGAAGGGAAAAGATGTCTCCCATCGCCATCCCCACCCCCCCACCCTCAAGGAACTGTCAGAGCTAGAACTCAGAGGGCAGGGGGCTGGACGTCCCCAAGAGAAACCAGCACAGAGGCCTGGACGGCAGTTCTGAAGTCCTCTCACCCAGGGTCTGTCCTCCCTCTGCCCAACCTCCACATACCTGGGGGCCTGGAGATCTCTTCAGGGACCTGAGTGTCCAACTCTCAAGGCTGCCACGGTGACTCTGCCCTGAAATTAACAAGAGCCAAGCAAGGGGTGAGGGTGGGGGCCGAGTGTCCAGGGCGGTGCCCACTTCCCCCGATATAGCAACTGCTGTCAGAAGCGCCAGATTCCAGGCAGGAGAATGCCAGGCAGGTCACACGATCCAGCTGGGATTAGGTGGCAGGCGGGGGTGGGTGGTGGGCAG